TTTCATTTCAATTATTTGGTTATTAGTGAATGACCATACAACGGTCTGCAATTTTTAGATATACAATATTTTTTTTTTTAACATTATTAAAATAAGTGGTATGTGTTAGACGTCAGGTAATCAAACCTAAACCTACATATTTTTTTGTGTGGGGAGGAAAAAAGGAAAAAATTTTATTGGGCGCCCGGAGAGAATATTTTTTAAAAAAAATCCTATTGTTATTAGGTGTAAGTTTTCCATGTTTTAATAAAATAATAAATATTTATTTATTAAAACTATATTATTATTAATGATTCATCTATACATAACCTAACTTTTTATACGACATTTATTTCTTTATTTTATAGAAACATGCTCAGTTAATTTATTTCATAATTTAATAAATTTACAAGCTATTTTAATTTAACATTTATCACGTTGTGACAGCCTGGTGTCTGTTATAGGTATAATGTGATACAAGTGACCAGCCCCACTCGCCGCGAGCAGACTATAAAATAATTTGGCAGACCCAACCCTTAACGTGTTGAAATTTATGCTACACAGTCAGATTAGTTCATATAAGCAATGAAAACGTCGATGAACGATGTCATAAATAGAAGCACGCTTCCTTGTAACACTACCAGGAGAATCCAGAAGACATCCATGGAACTTAGTAAATTCAATTAATTACAGGAAGCGATAGTCAATACCTGTCACCAATCTACTTCTACTTGAAATTTCGCTTCGTAGTTCCACGACAATAGTACTCAGTTAGGGTTGCTAGTTACAAAATATTACAATCTGCATTGTCTCTTGATGCTGCCTATTTGTATTGAGAGAAACAATGATGTTCCACTTATTTTGACCGAATTAAATTTGGCTTGAGATTTCGATGCATGCATGAAATTTATAATGATGAATTTTATGTATCACTAGATGCTTATAGGCGATAAGAGGAGACCGAGGATGGTTGACTAAATTTCGATTGAAACTCGTATATTTACTTTATGTATTAAGTTATTGCTGCTAAGTCTACCTGCCCTTTTCTCCTCTATATTATTTATTTTTTGACATTAAGAATGTTTTACTGGCTTGTAAAAAACTCCATTCCTAGAATTCCATTTTTACATCCAGTAGTTGAAGACAAACGATGTCTAAGTGTTTTCCAGAGTGCCTGACGCCAAATTTCATAAATTTTGCGTGGCGAATGGCGTAGCGTAAAAGAGTGAATAAATCGATACAAACACAAGCGCTTATAATATTAGTAGTATTGAATCGTTGCTAAAATAGATTTTGTTGAATTGAGATTGATAGAGACGATCAGACATTGATCCTGTTTCAGAATAGAGGGAAAATTGAATGGATATAGAAAAAAATGTGATAAGGATATCTATACAGATTTGTCGTTTTTGCAATGTTGAATAGAAGCGTTCGTCGGTGTAAACATTAAAAACAGTTGTCTACGCACTACAGGTAAAAAATAGAATTAACATTATATAATTTAAAAATCGAAAATAAATTGAAAAAAATTTCGACTCGGGCACGACTTGAACCGGCATCGTCAGCGTTCCGTGCTGTTTCCCTACCAATTGAGCTACCGAGCCCTACACCTCATCGTCGATTTTTTTCAACTTATTGATACATGCACCTATCGCGCAATGTAAGATACACCTGCCCGAGTCAAAATTTTTTTAAAATTTATTTTCGAGTTTTAAATTATATAGTGCCTTCATGTGCAATAACATGTAAAAAATAATCAAGTTTTCACATTTTGTTAAAGTTAAGTCTCATTATAGTCTGTTCATTATTCCGTTTGTAAAATAAAATTAATGTTTTAGTTGTGCATAAATATTGTAAACAACCTGTCGGTACCGGTTATCAACTTTATAGTGGCGGTAGTCGTTAAAACCCACTAACACGAACTAAACCAAAGTGGTGAATGTGAAAGGAGGCTGTGTCCAGCAGTGGGAATTATACGTCGAGTAATTATGAAGTTATTTGTCTCAGAGTAAGAATATTTTTTATTAAACTTTCCTTAAATATTAATTATCTAAAATTTATCTCTTATAGATATTAATAATGACAATATACACCATCGTTACAAATATTGTTATCGCGCAAAATATTTTCATATAACGCAGCTATTAACGTTAGGCATCTCCAACATTTCAAAGTTTAATTTTATGCGTCCAACCTACGCTTAGCTTTAGTAATTACAATAAATCGATAACGAAGCACATATTATATGTCTCTTAATTATGTCATGCATTCACTTAATCACTTGAAATGAAGACCGGTTTTTTAAACACCTTTTAAACAGACACGTTACAGCATTGGTATTATTCATTAGGTTTTTTATCAGTTAAGGTAATTAGCGTTTTGTATCCTACCCGACCGAAATAATTACTTATTATTTTCGCTGCAGTCGGACACGTAAGTCCTTCTTCAACTGAGCTTTGGCAGCGGCACGGCGAGAGCGCTTCGTGGTGAGATAGGTTCAAGATTTTAACAGCTACAATATTATGTACTAGGTGTGTCCACGGCTTCGTCCGCGTCCCGTTGTTTTCGCAAGTTAATTTTAAAAGATAGACATATAATTTAGCAGATATTTTTTTTAGCATATACTTTTATACATATTTTTCGTTTCTTGAACCGTTTTTGCAGCACACGTAACGGAAACCCTCAAAATAAATAAATGTCCCCAAATATTGGTCCTCTATTTCTTCGCTCCTATTGGTCGCAGGCTGATATTTTATATTTTATATCCTTCCTCGGTCTATCCAATACAAAATTAATTTTTCAATTAGAATTAGTACTTACGTAGATTAGCGCATTCAAAATAATTAAACAAACTCATCAGCCTCGTAATATGAATATAGATATAACAAAATATTGAGGAAAATTGGCAATGTTAAAAAATTAAGCACTCTTCCATGATCATTTTAACAAAATAGGTAAATAAAACTGATTAAATAATTAGTATATTAAAAAAAATCTACAATCAATAAATGATAGCCACACTATGTTGTCGGATTATAAGATATATTATAATGTATTGCATTTACTTTATCTGTTTTCGCGAAAAAAACTTTTTTCCGACGGCGGAAGAAAAAGCGCGAAGAAGACCCTGCGTCAGTGTAAAATATTTCTTCAGAGTGTCAATCCATTTTTATCATTTTGACTTTGACTAAAAAAAGGTAAGGACAATGTATCCAATGATAAACAATATTTTTTTTTTAATTAAATGACGTTGGTTCTTGAATCAGAATTTGACTCGGAATTTCGAAATTCCTACAACCCAATTAATATCTAGAATTGTGCGATATATTCTTGAAAATATATAAAATGGTTTTAGGAATCGACACAACCTCTAGTTAATACAGTGTTTCAGCTCAATATTAAATCATCGTTGACCGTCCGCGTCGCGCCGTAACTTGACAATAAAATACAAAAGTCCGTTGTTTTACACGAGCGACGTTTGTAAGCAAACAAATGACACTTGCAGCGCCCCCTCAGTCCCCCATATGCAAAACTCAATTGCGAATTGTCAAACTCGCGATGCACTACAGCCTACGAATTAAGACCACCCCGCTGCACTTTAAAACTGGTGCTGTAAATCCGATTGCTGAGTTGAAGTGGCTCCCCTTTTGCGAACGGAGTCATGGTAGAACTTTCAGACTATACTCAAAATTTCATAAATGTAGTTGCCGCCTGAGAAAATTGTTCAACTTTTAAAAATAAAAAATGGTGGCACGAGTGGTGAAGTGAACACGGTCTTTGCATACTCTGTTTAAGGTAAAGTTTGAACTGGTGCCGTTGAAAGGAATGACGATTGAAAGTTTCTAATATAATGTTCGTTAAAATACATTAAACGCTGACTTATAATTCCGAGTGTTAGTTAAAAAGCTAAATGCAGTTTAACTTAAACCCAAAAGTAGGCGCCATGAAGATTCTTTTTTCGTTTTTACACGATATTCAATCATCAATTTACATTTTTTTTTATTTTTAACAGGTTAAAGCGTAAATATATTAGCATATTTAGTTTTAAGTACTATGTATGACTATTACGTAGAAAGAAAGTCTATTATCTATTCAGTTTTTTTTCTATCTGTAGATAAATTACAGATAATATGAATAATTAAAAAAATATAACATGACTCTAATACAAAGATATATTGTTCTCTCAAAAAAATATTTTGTGTATGTACTGTAGATTTATACTTAGAGGAATAAGTAAATATAACTTTTGTATAATTTATGCCGCGTTTTATTTCCCAGTTTAGCATTTTGTTACAAAAAATAAAACGCTCCAAACAAAACCGTTCATCCTTTAAGAAGATTGTTTTAGAAGAGAAAATAGTGTACCTTTTTATAAATAATATTTTTTAAGTTGCGCTCCTTTTTTACATCTTGTAATATTTATTTTCTCAGCCAATAGTAGCCGCATAATTTGATGGAACTGAGCATGAACTAAGGTTAACATAAGGCAGTTTGAACTCACGCCAAATTGTTCAAAGGATCGGGATGTAAACTTCACTAATTAACTGCCGTCAAACTATATTACAGGCTATTACATTATACGGTTAAGAGTGATTTACTCTTACAGAGAATATAAGTTAAAAATAAATGTTGCGACTGAATGTTTTAAAAATAAACAAACCTAAACATCGTTTATTGACTAAGGAAGAATAAAATTATTAGTACTACCCTTCCAGAAGTTATTTTAAATATACTCATCCCATTCGTAAAATAAGAAAACAGTTCATTAATAAATGAAGAGAGAGATTAATGGACCATATTCATCAGATACCGATAGACATCAATTTCATTAAAAGCACCTTCATTATCACCCAAAACAATCAGAACAATCGCGTCGAGGAGATAATGAATTAAATTGGCAAGTAATAACATTACGCGTCGCTCAAATGATTACCGTAACCGCGGCCGGTATGACATTTAATTTCATACTATCAACGAGTGAGAGAAAACTGATTTTTAGTTAGGTTTGAGGAACAAGAACGATGTGGGGTGAGTGCGTAGGCTGTGGTCGCGTGGGGGCAAAGCGGACGATACCGCACCCTTCCGATGGGGTGTCCTGTTATACAAAAGCTCTTTATCATTTCGGCTCTCCTGGTACTATTTGGCATTGACTCGGATACATCAGGCGACTGATCGACAAATGAGTTATCAAACTTTTCATTTTCCGGAAATAATCAATTAGCGACGTCCGTGTTGAGAGTTGTCTGTTATCGGACAATAGTGTAAAATTCGAAATTGATTTTTTAAACACTGATATTCTGCGAGACGAAATAAACTAGTGTATCTTCTTGAAGTAATTAAAAGTTTCATATTATCTAAACATTTATTCTTCTTATAAAAAATGTGTATAAAACAAACTTTATAAATAAATAAAACAAAACGAGTGTTTAAATACTTTTATTAAAAACTTTTTTTTTATAACATTAACCGGAATTAACATAGCGTTAAGCATACCGATTAAAACGCGAATATTTATTTTTGATCGGGTATATTCAAACTCAATCTTTTGAACGAATTGAAACGAAATAGCATTAAGTTTCTTGTATCATTTCGTACCGGTAATCATGAGGTGTTTACACATTGAAAGAGAGAGTTGGGACACGAAAACCCGCTTTCCCACATTCCGACAATAAAAGGGAAAACCGGCGTTAGCGGTGCGAGAGACCGAACGGGAAGGATATAAGGAATTCATTGGAGTGCGAGCGCGCTGAAGATACAAATGTAAGGGCAACTTACCTCCTGGATGTATCTAGTCGCCTGGTAACTTATTACAAGTCGCGTAATATAACGAGGAAATGCGTTGCAAGCGAGCTGCTGCGACGGCTCGACAGCGCGGACTGCAAATGCATCGGTGTTTGCAAGGGGTGGTGCACTCTGAGTAAGCGAGACTTCTACGCCCGCCCATCTGCCTCATGCCTCATTTTCCCGCCCTACTGTCCATGAAAACTTACAGACTTAACAGGTGGTAATGGCACTTGAAATAGATCACTGTTACACCAAAATACACTGGTCAATTCCTCTACGATATCATTACAAACGCATAAATTCGTTTGTAATTGTATTTTACATGTAATATACAAAGATGCTTATACAGAGGTCTGGAGTTAAATGTGTATCGATAGAAGTCAAAGCCTGTAATGGATTATAGATAAATTAGAAGAAGTATTACAGCCTACAGGTTGATCAGTTGGCGCCGCCTATGCGCGGTCGCCCTGGTGACCGCCCGTCGGCAACGAACGACCTCCACGTGTAGCCAGACTTACAATTTAGTCTAGATAATTCAAATCTAAATCCATTTACTATAAATTTTTTATCGATATGTAAATATGCATAAATAAGCATTGACCAACTACAATTCATTTTCCATTCTATTATTGTTAGCTCTGTCTTCATATGATTTGATAGTGACATTGAAAATTGTACTTTATTTTATCGCAAATACACTCTGTACAATATTTATGCATAAAAAAAACACTTTGAAGTACTTTTGTGTCGTGAGTTCGAGTCCTCTATGTCATATATTGTTAAAATCTTTATTTAAACTTAAAACTTTTCAATCAAAAACAGTATACTTAATGTCATTTAAATTAATACATATAATATTCACATATTCCTTCAAGAATGCTTCCTATGTGGGTATGGAATGTAATAAATAATAACTAAGGTATATCGATATAAATTGCCTAACAATACATAATTCGGCCATTGTATTACGTTTATTGGTGTGCCTATTAATAGATTCAAATTATAATATATGAGGGACATATTATGTATAGTTAATAATGTAGATAAATTATTTTATCATATTAAATTTTGACATGAATTGACCCCAGAACTAAGATATATAATATTGATTATTGGGTCCTATATAATGTTGTATATTAATCTATAAAGTGATAGTTTAATGATTTATACATTTTGGATACTGTTTTTATGTGAATTAAACTTAATTTACAGGTATTCTACAGATAAGCCATCCGATTAAAAAGATTGTAAATTATCATTTGATCACTTTTACGAAAAAAAAAACAATTGAAACCTTAATATTTTTATGACACTGTCTGTATTAATGATACACATTATAAAAAAAAAAACTGTCGGAAACTTTGTCAACATGTGAAAAACTTAACCGAAAAATGTATTGGCCGCGTACAAAATCCAGGCCCGATAGATAGATTAGTTTCAAACGGGTGTAGAAAATTTTGCAATGCCGATATTTGGATGCAACTGAGCTCTAAATGGCAACCGAGCTTTTTAAATCTCTTTAACATCTCAGTAAAGGATTTGCAAGTTACATGACATTCAAGTTTAAAATGCACAGGTTTTCAAGATCCTGACGATATAGATACTAAAGTGAGTCCGCCTTTTTTCATTGTCAATTGCCAAGAACAAACTTAAAACCATATTTAAAGTAGCTTATGGACTTCGAAACTTTCTAGCATTTTATTGTATTGTACGAGAATTGAAAACTAGAAATTATACGTTTTTATTTAGAACTAGAGTGCAGAAACCAATAGCACGTATGATGTAAGTTTGTTCTCAAACTTTGTTGTCATACTCTGGTAGAAACCTCGTAACATTTTTTGAACATTAACTAATAGATTCATAAAACTCCGAAGAAAATTGTGCGGGGAAACGCAAACGTTTTTAAAGCAACTTCCAAATTTACATTTTATAAAGAGCAAAATATGTACACGGAGATTGAGGCTATTTTAGTAAAAGTTTGATAAATTTAAATATTTGAATATGTTTTTAATAAAGTTCTTCGTTGAATAAGTGGTAAGTACACATGACTTTTAGATCATAAGGTCCTAAGTTTTGAATCCTAGACGAAATTAAGTTTGCTATGAAGATTTTTTCTACTATTTCTGATATCAATTCGGACTTCGGAATGCTTAGCGATCTTTCTTTTCTTTGGACTCTATCTTTGTTATCATTACAAGAAAGTGTTGTGTGAGACGTTTGTTACCCGCTAACCGGTAACAAAGCACCTTTATCGTTTCAATCTTAACAGTATTTAACATACAAACAATAACTATTGATAATAATAATAATAATAATTACAGTATATTATTTTGCCAATAACTATCTAAAATGATAATCTTAATAAAAACGTGTAATTTCGTAGACTATTGCTACGCCAGAGCTACGCGGACGCCTTTTGCGCTTAAACTTATATTTAATGAAGGCGTATTACAAAAATGTCCGTAAATAACAGTTTTATAATATATTAAAATGATAACAAATAGCTAAATATTGGCTGACTACTGAAGTTACTAGGGAATAATTCTAAATTAGATATTATTTGTGATCTCTTTATTATATTTGTTGTGTATTAAATTGTAGTAATATTTACATATGATAAGTATGTAGAGACGTTTAATGTGCTTCTTTACCATAAATGGAACCGACGGTGCGTGAACCGTCGATATCCAAGGGAATAAACTTATAAGTGTGCAATGAACTAGCGAAATTTCTTACTTGGCAAATAGTATTTTATTTTAAAAACAAGGTGTCTGCTCGATAATAACCAACCGATAAGTTTAGATGACTTCAAGTTTGTAATAACTCATATTCAATATTATTATATACTTAGTACGCAAATCTAACACTTTTAACGGCTTAAAAGGTGAAATATATACTGTGATCATAGTCAGGGCACGGTTGCTATAAGAAAGAAAAAATGTGTAAATTGTTTATGATAAATGTATTTAAGAATATATTCTAAATTCTAGAAGTCATAAGATTTAAAATTGTTTATGTTTAGTTTAAGAATAGTTTTGATACTAAAGTTAATTTTAATTAATTTAATACTAATTTATTTTCTTCTAAGTTTATCTTTACTTCGATAATGCACATAACTATTATCAGTATTTCAAGTCTTTTTATTTAATAAAATAAATACCTACTAACGACATGATAAAACATAACTACCTTACATACTTATTAACATTGTTATAGAGTTTACGCTCAGGTTTCTGCTTACAAAGAAATGTATTTACTTATACGCGTTTTCGTTGGACAGTAATTAAAACTCGTTGGCCTTTAGATTTACCCCCTGAATGAGGCAGCTGACTCTTGTATTCCAATCAAACAAGTTGCAAACGTGGTGAGGAATAGATTACATTTGCGGATATTAATACCCTTTGTAATAGCGATGGTTGGTTTGTAATTAATGAGTTTTGTAATTAAATGCATGGTTCGAAAATTCATATTGCTTGTGACTGATTTTAATGCGGTTGTTATATGACTGTCGCCCTTAAATTATTGATCTATGATCCGTAATCGCCACAGCTAAGTAATATTTTTTGGTTATTAAATTTGTGGTATTTAAGTTATATAAGTTTTTGTATGAAGGTGGAATTTTAAGTGAAGTCCGGATTTTTTTTAATATTATCTTTTTAATTGCACTGGAGAAGTCTTAATCACACAACATTATTACCTATTGGTGCTATTATAAAAGTTAATAGTGTGTCACTTAATATTCGAAGGCATTAAATAACGCATAATAAACATGTGAAATAACTTTTTTAAACAGTTTGAAAAGCGCAATTTGTTAGTTAAATACATATATTACAAAATTCCTACAACATTCAAGAGATTAAAAATTTATATCGTTCCATGCTTGCCGTGCTATTCTCTAGCAACATTCAAGAAAATAAATATTGAAATTAAGCAATGTCACCTGTTTAAAACACGAAATATATTATTAAAACTTATATTTGGTTTACTTTAACTAAACGTCGCACGGTGGGTATTGTAAAAAAAGCTGGCCAAAAGTCGAAATCAAAATTTGTACCCAATTAGTAAATGAACCTTCATTTCTCATTGTTGAATAGTTATGACGTCACGCCCCGATCACCTTACAAGTGTATCAATTTTGTTTGCCCCTCCGACATCGGAATTTAGTGTCTCGCAGTTTTGTTCTCGTCGCTTGTAAAACGGATTTTATTAACCGCTATGTAAGATTGAAAGTGAAGTGAAGTTTTAAATGGATAAGATGAGGAGATGTATTTAAAACTTAATATTGTATACATCAAAATATTTTTTTAAATTTTATTAGAAACATTAAACTTAGCATAAATTATATTTATTTTTCCTTTTTTAGTGTTTTAGTAAAGTTGGATAGGTTCGGTAAAAATGAAGACAAAATTAGCATTTGTGTACTACATTTAAACCAAAAACATAATCCGCCAACATCCGCCTTTTCGAAAAAGTTCTTTATATGAAACAGAATTTAGGTACTAAATTTAAAATATTTTTTGTCTCATAGGATTTGAAGAAACTGTCGGGAAAAAGTAGGACAGATCTCTACAACTAAAAAGCAAAGTTTGGACATATTGATGAAGTTGAAATGAAGGATGATAGGGAAACTAATTGTCCAATGAAAAAAAAGTAGTCTCAAAGGAATTGAAACTTCAAATGGCTTCGACAGGAGGTATCCATGACGCTACACTCCACAAATGTATGGACCTACAATAATAAAACATGCCAATCCCTATAGGCCACTCTCTGAAGAAGCGGCAGAAGCGAGAAACAAACACTTTCGGCAATACCGTACTGATTTTGTAGAAATTTTCAAAAATATCTGCAATGTGGAGTATAAATAGGTTTTATTGAGCAGACCCATTGTTATCGGTACCAAATTAGAAGAATAAGAAGCCATTCACAAAAGAAGATTGAATTTACAGAAAGTGATGATGAAGAAAGGAGCAAAATAGAAAGAAGAAGTAAACTGAAAAAATTGCTAAAAGTTTTTGATAAAAATATTGTTTTAATACCCTCTCCAGTAAATTTATTTATAATTTATTCTTAGATAATATTAAAGGTACGCAAAATTATCAATTTTAACTACTGAGGGCAGAAGTAATGATGAGCAAAAATAGATAAAATATGACCATTTATGTTAGTATAGACCTAAGAAAATTGGCCAGTTTTTGTTA